TTCCTCGGACATTGATGAATGCCTCATAATTTCATGACAAATTTCTCAAGCTCGTTGCTTGGTAACAGCACTCAGCCTTCGGCTTCGTGTGTAGCACTAGTAGTAGTGTCTGGGGGCTCGGGAGACTGAGACCTCGGAAGCCCTGAGGAAGGCATCAGAGAGGATGCCGAAAGCTCGGCAAAATGGATATCGACGCGGTTCAATCCGGAAGACTGGTGAGTTTGATATTAATTTTAGTAATAATAATTAATCTTAGCTCTAGGTTTCATTGTACTAACCGCGGAAATCTTTCCGAACACACACACACACTACATACAATATATATATATATATTATATATATATATATATATATATATATATATATATATATCTTTAACTCATTCATGCCCGTTGGCACGCCTATGAATGTCTCCCTCTCCCCTCTCCGACATTCTTATTCGCAGAGTGCAGTTAAATTTGATGGAAGGGGTTATCGGCTAACAAATTCCGCAAAGCGACAGTTTGTATCTATCATTCAATTAGTTAGTATCGATAGTGTGCATAGTGGTGTTGTACGTGTATAATTATATTCATGGCCGCCGACAGTTCTATGTAAGTATACAAATATATAAATGTATTTTTTCAAACAAATGATTTATTGTCTTCAATAGAAAGCTTTTGTCGTCATTTTTAACAATAATTGTTATTCGTCAGTCATTTACTTTTTTCAATATACATATGTAAAAATGCATGGCAACTTGAGTTGCCACTGGGAATATGGATTATCATGTGATATTTTCAGGTATGTACGAGGAAGAGATGGCAAGGGGTTACTTTTTCACGTTGAAGCTCTCAAAGAAGATAATGAAATGCCTGAGTATATATCGATTTGTCCACCTGAAGAACCTCCAGACGCAGACACAGACAAGGATTCCGATTTCTCGGATGAAGAAGTGGCTGGCGATACCAACCATCTTCCAGCTCGTATCCTGCGCTCTCAAGTAAGTGTGAAGTACAGTCATGAAATTGAAGCTGCTGATGATACCGAAAATGTTTCCCAACCGAGTACCTCTCGGCAGATTCGTATTTCTCAACCATCTGCTTCCAAATGTCCTAAATCTGCCAAACGGCCACGTTTAAATCCAACTACATGGAAATCAAATATTTTTGAATTTACTTCAAAGGATCCTGAACCAGATGTCGAATACCGTCCTAATGTAGAGGATCTTTTGAAAGAAACAATTAAGAGCCCGATTGACGCATTTAGGTGTTATTTTACACAAGATATAATAGAGCACATTGTTCGCGAAACAAATTCTTATGCAGGGCAAAAATTAGTACACAACCTTAACGCTACTTCGGCAGAAATTTTAACGTTTGTTGGGGTTATGCTCTTATCGGGATATCACCCACTGCCTTGCAGACGGCTTTACTGGACCGTAGACGATGACGTTCACACACTAATAGTCTCAAATGCAATGAGACGAAATCGTTTCGATGAACTTATGAGTTTTATTCATCTCGCCGACAATCAGTCCAGTGACGGTACTGATCGAATGTATAAAATTCGCCCTTTGTTTAATATGCTAAATTCTGCATTCAAGCAAATTACTCCTGGTTCCACTGTAAGCATCGATGAGAGTATGATTCTTTATTACGGGAGACATGGAAGTAAACAATTTATAAGGGGCAAACCCATTAGATTTGGGTACAAACTGTGGGTAGCTGCCGATCCTTCGGGTTACATCCATCATGTTGAACCGTATTGTGGCTCTTCCACACGCCTTCCTCAAACTGGTCTAGGACAAGGTTTGAAGGCAATTGAAAAAAGGAAATAGACTTTATTTTGATAATCTTTTTACGTCGGTTGCATTGTTGCAAGAATTGAGTTTCAGAGAAATTTCAGGTACCGGAACATTACGTGAAAATCGATGTAATGCCGCAATGAAACTTCCAGAAAAAAGTGCGTGGAAAAAAAAACAAAGAGGTGACTTGGCTACTTCTTCGTCTGGTGATCTTTTGCTAGTTCGCTGGAATGATAATAACGTTGTCACAATGCTTACCAATTGTGACAAAGTCTATCCGATGAAAAAGGCTAATAGATATTCTCGTGCAGAAAAGAAAAAGATTACAATCGATATTCCAGGTCCTATTGAACGGTACAACAGCAACATGGGAGGCGTTGATATAATGGATCAATTCATGGCTTCTTACCGGTGCCGAATTAGATCAAAAAAATGGTGGTGGCCTTTTTTTTTCATGGGCTGTAGATGTCGCATGTGTACAAGGTTGGCTTTTATATCGCCGACTTGGTTATGACATATCATTGTTGAACTTTAGGCGCCAATGCACAGTGTACCTTTTAAAATCATTTGGTACCCTTCCAAAAATACTCTGGAGTCAAAACGTCATTGAATTTTTCACCTGTACTTCAAGAACTCAGAAAAGACCACACTGATCATATTATTCAGAAAGGTGCGTCCAAGTATCGTCGTTGTAAGATCTGTGGCAATCGTACATCCTATTTCTGTATTAAATGTGATATTGTCTTACACCCTGACAACTGTTTTAAAGTGTTTCACACTTAAAATTGATGTTATAACAGCATTTAATAAATAAATACTATAAATACTAATGTTTTTTATTATTCTTATATTTACACCGCTTTATCCCAGTGGCAACTAGAGTTGCCAGGCTGTCATTTTGGCACTTAGATACTGATATGATTTTTAATACCATTTTTACATTTAAAGTACCATAGAAGTTCCGTGACTAAAATATTACACAAAAAAAATCACTAGGGAATTCTGGGCATGAATGGGTTAAGTGTTTTGGAAGTTTTGTGTTTTTCGATTTATTGCAAAATTTGCTACAACAAACTCAATGCTTGTTGTTCATGTAAGTCTTGATAATGACAAAGTAAACTAAAACTAGAACTTCAGCGTTCCATTTTACTAATAGGAAATAGCAAAAATATTTTTTATAAGTCTTGTTTATTTTACTCTAAAACGCCTGATAGTTGGAAGAGTCCATTTATGCGAGGAGGAGAGTTCGTAATACAACATGTAAAATTTACAATTTTATTAAAATTTATAACAAGGATATTAACTAACAGGATTTTATGTACTTTCGAATGTTCAGAAAATTATTAAAATAAATAAACTTTATAAATCGATAATTGTAAAAACCGGGTACTGTAGGCCAGAAGAGCCAGAAATATTATAGTGCATAACAGAAGGAATGTTATTCCTCTTTTTTACTATTAACAAATTCCAAATATTTTTAACATTACCTTTCAGAGAGAATTCAGTTAGAGCAACATAATCAAGATAGCATTATTCTTTCAGTTGTTTACAGTTGCTCATAATAAAGAAAACTCATTATAGTCAGCAAGTAATTGAGATTTTAGATATTTTTTATGCATTTTCTTTTTTTTTATTATTATTGTTTTTTAAGCTCTGGAGAAAATCAGACATGAAACTTTTTTGCTGAATCCGTCTTCAGGGGAACAAAAATATCAAATTCAAGGTAAATAACATCACAAAACATTTTAATCCATCAAGACTTTTATCTTTAAACAAAACAACTTTATACACTGAATCAGATGTTATATTCAAATACAATGCTTACCTGAACAGTGGCATTTGGCCAAGAAGAGAAGGTCGAGAAGATCCAAATATCCAGAGATTACAAATCCTTGTTAACCAAAAGTGACCAAAAATTGACTCTCGACAGGTAGCAGTTTATATCTAAAGCCTACTTCATGACTGATTTCCTTTGAATTCTGTCTTAAATAGGGCTTGATAGTACCGAATATCAAAGACACTATACCAGTTTCATGTTTCTAATTAATTAGATCAGTACTTGTAAGACCAGAAAAATTATGACTACCTACTTGGAAAGTCGTTTAATAATTAATGTTTTACCAATTTTATACTTCAGATAGATGTGTTAGAGAAAATGAATTGTAATAATCTAACGATAAAAACCATTTATAGTTGCTTAACTTCGTTTAACACTAGTAACACTATAAGATCCATTATCATTATCAAATGTTGGGATGCTGGCGTAACCACAGTTTGTTTTACTGTTAAGTGCAAAGGACCTGATTTAGAACGTGGAATACCATAACTGGTAAACAAAGCTTTTGCTATATTTCGACAAAATTCAAATAGATCTAATTCACTTTTCTATAGAAAAGTCAAGCATTCTGTACAGATATGTTCAAGACCCATATGAAGAGTGGCCAGTGCCATTTCTTACACCATAGGCTTGTTCTATAACATGAGTGTCAGTGCCTTCCAAGTTTTCGTTCCATATTTTTTCTCAAATAATGCTGTGGAATTTTTAAATTCTTACTTTCTGCAAAATGATACTTTGTAGCTTGAACTATTGGAATAATACATTGACAATTTTGAAACAACATTGACCACACTGTTGCCATTCTATTTACACAAAAATGATTCATTGGTCTAGTCCAGGGGTTGGCAACCTTTTGAGTCGGAAGAGCCAAAAATTACAATTTACAAAGTTTTTAAAGAGCCAGAAATTTTTTTTGTCAAAAATAAATAGTACTCACATAAATAAAGTTCTTTGATGACAAACATTAATCTAGTTATTCATATGTAGGTATATAGTGTTTTTCACATATATATTTTCATACATTTCATTTATTGAAGTAAAAAATTAAAACAACTAAATGTTCACTTATAACACTAACTTGCACTTCAATAACAAACAGTTGAGCAAATAATCTCAATGGGAGTGTTGGCTTTGCATGATTTTAGAAAGTTTAGGTAAATCTGGCTCATAACTTGTTGTTTTAAGTTTCAAACACGACTCTAAATTTTCATTTGTTAGTTGGCTTCTTAGTTTTCTTTTAATTATATTCATGTAAGAGGACGCTTGCTTGCAAGAATATGTCGATCCGAAGATAGTCAGAACTCCAAATGCGAACTTCTTCACGTCACTGTAACAATGTGGAAGACTATTCCATGCGTCGAATGTAAGTCCCTCAATTCACGGCATTTCTTTCAAATCTGACCATTTTTTTGCGTTACGTACATACATTTCTGGACTTCCAACTCTTCCGACTTGCTTTTCAATTCCCCTCCAATTCAATAAATTTCCCCTCCACAAAGCTTTACTTTTTAAATCGATCAATTGCATTTCTAAAGATCCAGTATGAATTCCAAATGACTCAACGTGAATTTCGTTATTATTTGTGTTGAGATGATTTACTATGAATGCTAAAGTAGTTTTGTTGGTTTTGATTGTGCTGAAGTAATTCGTGTCAACAGTTGCACTGGTTTTATCGTGATATTCCTTTAGAAATTGAAAATGAAGTAATTTACTGCTCTGAATATCTTCTGCAAAAAGAGTTTAGTTGTAAGTGTATATTTTGATTTTCATTTCAGTCTCATTATTTCATTTTCATTATTTTAATTTCTTCTACAGTCCTCTGATTTTCATTTCTTTTATTTTAAATATACAGACTCATTTCGAAAGGGGAAAACCAGCGGGTTCTAGATTGAACAAAATATCTTCTCTCCCCCTTCAGGTTGACCTCAATTGTTATATTGAGGTCATCATATGTGCAAAACGCAACAAAAACAGCCTTTTAAAGTTGCTGACAAATAGTTACAGATAAGGCTCTCAAAAACTTTGGGAATACAACTTAGAATGCTAATAGGCTGATAATTGTTCACTTCAGAGTTATCAACAGATTTTAGTATTGGGGTAATACAGCTAGTTTTCCAGTAGACCTGTCTTTAATGACAGGTTAAAAATGTGAAAAAGTGGTCTAGAAAGTAAAAATCTAAAATGTTTAAAAAAAGAATGTGGAAAACCCTCTGGACCTGGCCCCTTGTTGCTATCCAAAATGAAAGTTTTTCATATATAGACAAAATAGAAATGCTAAATTGTGATAGGTTGATGTCTCTAGTTAAAAAGGTTTCATCCTGCAAATCAAAATCTTGATCACTATAAGTTTTGGAAAATGTATTTAGCAAATAAATTGACAATCTACATATGTAACATATGTAACCGACTACATATGTAACACTAATCCACGAAACTTGGGTTACAAGCTGATTCAGATTCTAACCCAAAAGTCCAACTAATGTCTTCACAATACTTCCCACTTTGATTGGTTCATGCACAGAGGAGCCATCTGCTTTGAAGGCTAGTTATGAAAACAATTTCATAAAATTATTTTCTTTTCCTCTACGCTTTCAAAATGTGCAAACTAATTATATTGTTTTATTGATTCTGATTCAGACGTGAAAAGTTTTGACTAGTTTGTGCTCCAATGCCACAATATTTGGCTTTTAATTCATCAGAGCAGTAGCAAGGTTTTGCCTGAAAGTTCCAATCATTTGCATCTTTTTTCATTTAAAATCATATAAATATCCATTTATCAGTGCAGTAACCCAGTAATAGTGCATGGTCTAGTAATATTTAGGAAGTCTCAAAATAAATTTAATGAGAATACTGTTAACAAATAAAACATTACCAAATATAACCTAGTTACTGAACAAACTAAATGGTAATAATTCACGATCTTAGATTTGCCTGGTGGATAGCACCAGATAGAAACAAATGTGACTGGCATAAAAGATATTTGTTCAGTCAGAACAATGGTAATATTAATTTCTCAGAATATCTTTCAGATTAAAGAATGCTCTGTGCAATATTTTAGTAATGCTTTAATAATCTTAGTAATTAGCTTTAATAATTTTAGTAATCTTTAGTAATGCTAAAATACTAAAATAGTAATATTTTAGTATTTTAGTAAACTATAACCAGTGCCATAATGATTTAACACTTTAATAACCATTGCACCAAATTCAGCCACAGTGAAATTTTCTTACATATCATCTGCACTATACTTGGGCACATGTAATGTAGCTGCACTATCAACTGTGACTATCGGATGTACAGCTACATTTACATAGCATTGATATGATTTGTCACGTCACAACTTACTTGATTTAAACTTAAGTGTTTTGAGGTTATAAAAATATTTACATTTTGACATTTGTGTGTAGTTACATTTTTCGTTTACAAATGTTGTAAGTTGTAATATTGATTTTAAAATGCTGAAAAAAAAGTTTAAACACAAGAAGAGTTAGAACAGATTTTTGAAGAAAGTAATGGTGACTCTGATCATAGTGACAAAGCAACTGTAACTGAGATATAAAAAAGAAAATGCACTAAGCTCAATTTATATGTCTAAAATGGTCAAAATTTCCGGTAGAATACAAGAGCTAATTCCCTGTTCAAATACTGATGATAAAAATGTGGTTATGTTAGAAGATAAGTCCAGTTGTGTAGAATCAAACAATAGTTTTAACTCTAGTTCAACTGACATTTTTCTTACTACACAAAATCTACACCTCACATGGGATACTCTTAATATGGATAAACTAAACAAATTTACATTTAATCCAGTATAAGATGCTACTATCCAGGAACACCTAACAACACTAACCACACCAATTGAATTTTGTTGTTTATGTGTTGATCAAGATTTTATAGATTTACTTATCAGGGTCAAACAAATACTTGGAATAAGAAATAATTTATGGTATTGTTGGTGAAACAATTACACCACACTCTGTGGCTAGCCCGTTTAGCCTAGTAGTTTTTTTTTCTATTATATAGGTAGCACTAAGAAAAATGTTCATTTCTATAAAAAATTGTCAATAAGTAACATTCCTTGCCTGCAAGTATGCATTACCATTTTCAAAAAAATAGCATATTCAAAGGATGATGATGAATATACATCTAATTATAAAAGTCTTTATACTCCAGTAAATATTGCAAGTTATGTTATAAAAAAATATGGAAGAATCATAAGTTTTGAACAAGAAACAAAGAATATAAATGTGAATGTAGTTTTCTGAAGACAATGATTGTTCCATGTGTACCCTAGGTAATATTTTCTAAATACATATTTAATTTAAATAAATAGATAAAACTACAGTCCAAATCAGTTTCTTCCTATAAGGAGAAGTATAAGAAAACTTTTAGATCATCTAAAAATTTGGCTAATATAATTTCAGAATTGGGAACTAACAAATTTAAACAGGCAATAAATTGCATTAACTATTTTCACAATATGTTTCAGTGAAAGAAAAGATGTGTAATGAATAACAACAGAAATAGTAACAAAAAATATTTATGATGTATCTAACCTAATAAAAATGTTGAATTAGGATATTGGATAACATGATTCATCCCACTTAACCCTTTCAGTCACACTGTACCTCAAGAGGTACATTGATTATGTATGATTTCAAACATCAATGGGAATTGACTTATACCCAAGAAAATATTTTGCAGGTCAAATATCTTGTCTAATTAGTAGAAACCTGCATTCTGCGCGCAATTTTGTTTTTGCTTGACAGTTATAACCTGATTTGAAATAAGTTCATTAGAGTGACATTTGCAAGAGGTTAGGACAGTCTGTTTGTTTATGTTGTTTTTGCTGTTTATTTTCAAGAATAAACACAGATATATATTTGATAGGTAAGTAAACACTGCAATTTATCATAGTATGTATTAGTTTTTAAAATGTAGATAATATAAAGTAGTAATTTGGGCACCTCAATTAGATGTACCTCATGAGGTACAAACTGCTTTTAAGAATTTTTTGTGACAAAACTAATAATATATATTTTCGTGTAAAACATGTTCTTTCATGAAATATTTATTTTCAGATGTGGCTAAAAACAGCAAAAAACTACTTACACATGAAGAGTTACTATATTATCTTGAAAATGACGTTGACTCAGATATTCCTGATCTTGACGATGGATGGGAGGATGATACTCAAATGGAAACTAATGATGAACTAGTTCAATTTTTGAATGAAAGTGCCCGTTCAGATGAAGAAGAAACTAATTCTCAAGATCTAGAGGATGATTTGGAGCAAGAGCCAGACAACATCCAAGAAGTTACAGAAGATGAAGTAAATCAAATGAATCCAGAAACAACTTTTGAAGTGTTTTTTAAAAACCATCATTTTACTAAGAAAAAGCAAATAAAATGGATGAAGGATGTACAGTTCGAGACCAGAAAGGTAACATGTTATGATCCCATTCCACAACAAGTTATTGATTTACCAGCACCAATTGATTTTTTCAATAAGTATATATCTGATATCTTCTCAGTAATGGCTGAGATGACAAATCATCATTCCGTGCACAAGCATATATCAAGATTTTCTCCAACGACCCCTGATGAAATAAAAAAATTTATAGGCATACACGTAATAATCAGAAATGTACAATATTCTCGAGTTAGAATGTATTGTGTTACACTTGATTCCACTGTAAAGATAACATGCCATATAGATTTCCAAACTTAGGCAAAATATTCATCGTGTGGATATAACTAACCGACCAGAAAATAATACAGATAGACTGTGGAAGGTACGTTCCCTGTACGATAGTATCAAAAAAGATGCCTAGAACTGCCTCTAGAAAGAAATTTATGTGTGGACGAACAAATAGTACCATTCAAAGGTAACATAAATATATAACAATACATCAAGAATAAGCCCAAAAAATTGGGAATCAAGATTTATGTTTTAGCTGGCCAAAGTGGTCTTGTATATGACTTTATAATATATCAAGGGTCCACTACAGAATTGAAGCCTATATATACCCATTTTGGTGCATCAGCAGGCGTTGTAATGCATTTATCTGACAGAATTGCAGAAAAAGGTCATTTCTTGTACTTTGACAATTATTTCAGTACGTATCACCTCTTCCAGTATTTAAACTCCAACTCTATATATTTAGTGGGTACCATAAAACTAAATCGTTTTTTTTCGACCACTGCTTCCTAGTGATAAAATCTTGAAACAACAAGGCCGGGGAAATAGTGCTGTTTCTGTTAGCAGGGATGGTATAGTGATAACGAAATGGTATGATAACAAACCGGTCACTGTAGCATCAAATTATGTAGGTATAGGGACACAAGATTACTGTAAAAGATGGGATAAAGCAACTAAACAATATATTGAAGTTCCAAGACCTGAGGCTATACAGCACTACAACACAAATATGGGAGGAGTAGACAAAGTTGACTTTTTGCTAAGTATTTATCGCTCCCATGTAAGATCACGAAAGTGGACAATAAGAATGATTACCCATGCCATAGATTTAGCACTGGTTAATTCATGGCTTGAATATAGATCTAAAGCCCAAGCCCTCCATGTTCGAAAGAAAGATATTTTGGATCTTATGGGATTCAGACAGTCCGTAGCTGAGTATTTACTTCTTCACAAAGATCCACCTAAGAGAGGTAGACCTTCAGCGGAACAACCTTCTCCACAATCGTTGAAAAGGAAGCTCCCTGAAAAACGACCTTATATGGAATTTAGATATGATGGTTATAATCATGTACCAATCTATGATGACAAGAAAGAAAATTCTAGGTACAAGATGGAGGGATGTAAAGGCTGGACCCACATGTTTTGCAAAAAATGTCAAGTTCATTTATTTATTATGAATGGCAGGAATTGTTTTGCTGATTTTCATACTAGATAGGCTTTTAAGTAATTTTCTAAACAGCTATTCTTTTTTTTTGTATTCTGTTAGATGATAATAATAAATTTACTTCTATTATTAGAATAAATTAAATACTAATTAGTTGATTTGTTTTTTTTTGTAACATCCTTAAATGCAACATGTACCTTGTGAGGTACAAGTCGTAACAAAAAAACAGATGGAGGGGCAGTATTTTTTTTTTGTTACATACTGTTTTAGTTACCTCTCTCAAGCATATCTACCAAATTTTATAATTTTTGGATGCCTATTTCTAGATATGTGACTGAAAGAGTTAAATTATAAACTACAAAAATTGAAGTGTATTTTCACGAAATAAATCATTAGTACAATAAGTATAACTTAACCTCTTTATTACAGAAGTAGATAAATTAAATATAACAAGCTATTATATGAATTCAAATTATTCATGTGATTCCTCAAATTGTATGATTATATTACTATAAGATGTACTAAAAGAGGTCTAATTAAAGCTGTAGGTTCAACTTTTAATTCATACGTAATTTACAAAAAAGTCAAATGTTTTAACCCGAATATGTATCAACTGAATGTGTCTTACTTACTATTTAACTTGCACTGGGCATTTTTCCACTAATAAGCAGTTTTTTTAAAGGACTCGTAAAAAATAGACACCAGCTGTATTTATTGATTTTTAAAGTGCATTTGGGACTAATAGTTTCCATAGCAATAAAGTAATTAATTATTAAAAACCATACCACATTTCCAAAAATTGATTATACACATACATGACCAAAAAGAATATACGACGCATATGCGCTAGCGCTAATATTCTATGGTTAGGACTGTGGGAACCATGACTGTTAACTGTTATATAATTAGTAATAATATATTATTAAATTGTAAAATTGATTACTTACTTCGGTAAATCTTTTCCTCTTAATAACTGTCAACCATTATGAAAACAAGTCCATTTCATTTTTTGGATTTGGAAAACGAAATCGTCTGCTAGTGTAGTCGGTACAGCCAGGAACACAACATTTTTTACCTTATTTTTTTTGTTCCATTTCAACGATGGTAAAACATAATTTTTTAAATTTAAGATGATAATAACCAAACAAAAAACTCAATTTGCAATATGGCGATTGCATGGCGTCCCAATCACAATACCACCAAGCACCAACCCACAACCCACGTAGTAAGTCGTAAGTCTACGAACCGTGCCACCAACCAATGCAACCAACCAATTAATTAGTGATGGGCGATTCCGAATACAAAAATCGGAAACATTCCGATTCGTAAAATAATCGGATGATTCCGATTATTTTGTAAAGCTCCGATTATCTGCATTCCGGTTGAAGTTGATTTATCTCCGAATCGAATTTTTCTTGCTGTGGATTAGTATTGGAACATATTATTATGAGTGTATGATATCACCACAGAACACTAATCACAACCAGAAGCGAAACGGAACCTTTGATGTTGGGAGGACAGAAATTCAGAG